ACCACCTTTAGCAGTAATAATCTTAAGTAATAATTTTCTACACGACGTCATCATTCTCTCAGGTCATTGTGGAGGAATTTCGACGTACTCTTCTTTACGTTGCATCAGTTCATTGTGGTTTTCTCAGAGATTCTATTACCAACTTCCTGGTTTGCTTGTTCTTAGTTTTTCACATGACTGCAGAGTCCTGGAAAACCTTTTTTCTGGTTTGTAATGCAACAAGATCGTTGTCTAGTTGCATTACCCAGTTTCAGCCAAGCTTTAACTGTCAGACAGATGGCCTCACATAGAGTACTTATACTGAGGAGTTCACGGTCGACCGACTGAGTGCAAGGTGCCCAAGTCCTGTGGCAAAAACAAACCCAAATCATCACACCACCATGCTTGACAATTGATATAAGGTGCTTACGCTGATATGCTGTGCTTTGGTTTTGACTACATGGAACAGTGTACATTACAGTTAAACATCTAAATGATGTCTGATTGAAGCACACTGCTCTAGAAGTCTTGCAGGTTTAGATGCAACCTGAGCTTGGTTGCTATGTTCTTTGTAGAGAAAAGCTTTCTCCTGACAACCTTCCAGACAAGACGTATCTGTGCAATCTTTTTCTAATTGTACTGTCATGAACATTGAGTCTGAGATTGCAAAAAAAGCCTTGGGCTTTTTTTGCAATTTCTCTGGCTACTGCACAGCCTGAGATTTGGGTGACTATTGAGTAAAGGAAGAGTAAAGGCTATTACTTATGAGGGCTTATATTTAAATTGATGAGTAGGACAATCTCTCAATAACTTGATGTTTTCCCTTAAATGGCTGATTAGAAGCATGGAGCTGACACTCACCGTGACGTGGCCTCCACCAGGAATGTGGTGAGCATTTTCCAGGGAACCCACCTTTGCTTGGGCTTTGTCTTTGAAGTCCAACTTCACACTCTCGATACGCACATTACCACCTCCTGTTTAAAAGCAGAAGAAGTGTAAAAACTATTAAGTGAGAAGAGCGCTATATTAATTGTAAGCATTTATTTCAATTATGAAATTGAAACAGCATCAAGTGAAAAACAAAATGTGAATACTTAGTCACCAAATATCCACCTAATATCTACTCAAGACACACCCATCTTATTAAGAAGTTATTAAAGGTCAGATGAGAGAGTGAGGTTAAAAATTGTGCAGAGTTAAAGTATGAAACCCCAGTAGCTTCTCAATGAGAGTTTAGGAATAGACTAAAGAATGTAATAAACATGGCAGAATGAACAGCAGGTGGCGCTGCAGGACAGTCCAATACTCTCTATGGGTAAATAAAAAGGGGATTCCATATTTCTGCAGGGGGCTTTGCTGCCAAAGTACTGGTAGTGCAATGAAATCTTTCCAGTTCTGTATATTAAGCTGGAAATTCAGAAAATGATTTAAAAGGCCAATTCAGTTAAATATAAGCACAAGTTCTGTGCAGTTATCCGGAAGAATAAAAAACATAAAACCACTTTTATGGCATCTAATAATTATGATTTAGATTTTAATTGTAGAGCTTTGAATATGACTGTCACAGAGCATCACACTGCCCTATAGCATCAGAGAATTTATTTTGTTGTATTAATGGAAAAGAAATATTCAAACTTACCAACAGCAACCCCTATAACCAATATGCAAGTTTTCTTTTAGTGCAAGTCCTATGGACTTAGGAATGTTAAGGGATTACTGTGAAGGCAATTTATTACTTTGCATTTCAGAAATTTGGATGAGCAAACATTAAATTGAATGTAAAACCCTCTCCAGGTTTGAAGTAACCCAATTTATTAACATCATATCCCACACTCTCACACTCAAGGTATAAAGACAAATTTCAGAAAATGCTGCCAGGGACCAAAACACCTCCTACATTCGGCCACCTGCAGACACATCTATAAGGCTGTCAGTTTACTGCTTGCTTCCACTGTTGTTGCGTATTTAGATACAGACTGGTCCAGGAGCTGCATCTGATTGACATGTTATTTCAGGAGTTAAGAAAAAAACTGCCAAATGAATACATGCATTTACATAGGGTAGGAAATTCTTTGTCTAACAAATACAAGTAAACAGGTCTTAGAACATCTAATCTGTGTCCCTTGGTATTATCGTGTAATGATAAGACCAGGTGGAAGCGCACTGGGGTTTACCTGGCATTGTAAGCCAGCAGCATCAAACAGAGTTGGGTGATGAATGTTGAACTCAACACTGTTTACCTGTCTGGCTTGTCTACTTTGCGCTTCCTTATCTCACTAAAAGAAAAAATGGGAGCATGCAGTTCAACTTATCTACTCACATTTTTAGCTTCACATGCAGTCATACCTTGAGGCTTTCCAGTATAACCACAGTCTGAACTCAAAAGCTCATGAAATTTAGATAAATTGCTCAAGTGTATCTGAGCAGTTCGACGGCCTCCTGGACATAACACATATAAAATTCAGATTTTAAAGTAAGGAACTGCAGCAGCAACCTTCTGGTCACAGCACACTCACTGCAGTGCAGTGTTGCCCTCTTTGTAGGGGAACTGCAAACCTTTACCTGGCCGATGATGGATGTTGTCTAGAGAGCCACACTTGGAGGTCACATGGCTCAAGTCAATCTTCTTGTTCTGTATTTGTACCTGGAAGGAACACAGTCAGGAAAAGGCAAGTTTAGAGCCCACAGTTCAAGGCAAGATCATCAGGTCCCCCCCTGATTTATCAAGAGGAATACATCTGATCTAGATTGTACCTGTAACCGAAGCAACCTGTTTTCAAGCTGTAAGTATGTCTTGAAAATAATTTGTCCCATTTATAAAACTGAACAGACACACATAACTGTGAGAAGTGTAAGGCAAAGAGAGGGCAGGGACACACCGAGGAGGTCTGAAGAGCAACCCGCAGAGAAATGTGTAAGGAGTGAACTGATGAGACAGCAAACATAAAGCTTTAAACACAGCACAGATGAACAAGGACAGATACACCACATCCTGAGATGAATCACGCAGACACGCCTGTGGTCAGCAACCTTTGCCACGTTGCTGATTTAGTACAAATGTCTTTTGTAACCAGTGATTTTGTGTCCCTTAATTTCAACCCTCTTTACAAGGCCCGAGACACAAAATGACAGAAAAAGTGAGATGACACATAGAAAGTCACACAAAAAACACCACACCACAAGCACACAATACTGTATGCAGCCTTTACCTACAATATACCTTGTTGTGGCCTTATTGTTTTGTGAAGCTGTGGACTGATAAAGAACACCAAGTCTCTTACACATGCAAAAGACTAGCAAAAGTATAGCATATGAGTTTTAAAGAGAAGAGATTATAAGTGCTTTGTGTCAGCGTGGGTGAACATCAGGCTTCTGTTTGGCACATCGCTCCTGTAGTCATGTCACTTAGGCATCTGTTAACCCCACTGTTGATGTTTTTCATTTGTATGGTATGTGTTGATTTCTTACATAAAACACAGTACCTTTTGCAAATGCAAATTCTTGACCTATTCATATAACTGAACATAAACCAGATACATGCATTTTTCTTCAGATGCGCTTGATTGCTTAGTTTATTAGTTCTACTAAGAAGTGAAAACACCAATCAGACACGACATTAAAAACCATCTTTCTGAAGGTCTTTGTACAAAGCACCTTGGACCCATTAGGGCTTATGGAGGCCCTGTATGATGATGGTAGTGGGTCCTTTAGGGTCCTTTGGTGTGCTGGAGTCTCTGTGGATCAAGTTTCTTCTGTGTGCTGCAGATCATCATTAGGGATCTTGGAGCCAGGGTCAACACCTTGGACTTTTGGTCTCTTAAAGTCATTGCTGAAGAGACATTGGTCTGCCGGGAAAGGCCGCTGCCACTGAAAAAGGCTAGTATGCCTTTTATGTAGGTTATACATGTAAAAGTATCATTGATGAACACAAGGATCCAAAGTCTTTAACAGTAAGAACCTTCATTAATTGCACATTTTTCATAATAAGATTACTAAACAATTATAACACTTTTCGTAATAGCACTGCAATACATGTTTTTTTTTAATTTAAGCAATCAGTGGGTTTAACGTTGTGGATGATTGGTGTAGATTTTACACATTAGCAGAGTAGTACGATATCCATTTTTAATTGTTTCTCAAAAGAGAACTGCAATAATTGAGTGTTTGCATGCATAATTTGGAGAAATGACATTGTTTTCTTTATTTATATCAAATGTAATAAAGATGTTCTGACTAATAGTTAATTATGGCTTTAATTTTTTCAAACCTTTGCCTCAGTTTTCTAGTGAGTTTTTTTTTTAAGTCGAATTTATCAGAGGCAATACAACTGACTCTTTTATACACTGATGGGAGCTGATGTAATCTCCAAATATAATAATTTGCAACAGAGGGAGGAGTAAAGAGCACTTCTCATGAAATTATGCACAGTTATATGCAACAACTTTTAGTAATGTTTGATTGCAAATGGTAATCTGCAATTTAAAGTCCTCACGTTCAGCAACTCAGCCAACCAACCCTCTCCACCTTCGCTTAACTTGTGCTGGGCTTGTCCTAAAAATCTGCAGGAACTGTCAGTTGAGCAGCTGTGATTCAAAGTGACCAGTCTGCCTTTGCGCCATTCTTCACTTGATGTGTACTGACACTCTATTTGAGGCTCTCGAAACTAAGATGCTGCAATATATGAGCAAATGTGCTACCACATGTCTCTTTAAGGTTGACGTCGGTTTTCTGCAGATAATTAAAGACGAGCGATTACAAGTAACATGTAAGAATACAGAATAATACACACAATGCCAACTCTGATTTCACTACTTTGAGGCCGCTATTGTAAAACTGGGCACAAAATAATAGCTGTTTCTTGTTACACAACGGATAAATTTAATTACTACAGTCACCTGAACAGATAATATCTGCTGTGCCAAAAGCACTGACCTTATAAATGTTCCTGGCACTACTTTTTTCAGCTGCTGTAGCAAGAATCAAATAAAAAGAGGTTTTATGGGAACAGATCATTCTGAGGGAAGTGATATAAAGTCAAGAGATAAGTTTTAACGGTCTCATTATTATTAGGCTTGCGTAACTGTGCATTGTTAATGTGCATTATTCAAATCAGAAACTGCAGATGGAGCGCACACTATACCTGCTGCCTTCAGATGGCTATAATCAGTCTTAATCAAGTGCTTCATGCAGCGTGCTACCTGTTGTGGATGAGAGATGCTGGCAAGAGTTTTGCTAGCAATGAGTGGGCTAATTTTGTTAAGCACTAAGTCTACTTTCTCTTCTGTGTGTTTCTGCATATGAAGAAGAAAGCCTTTATTAGCTTTATTTTCATCGTACATAAAGAAAAATTCAATAAGATTTGATGAGCTTCTCTGTCCAGTACAAAATACAATAAAGGATTAGAAAAGCATTAAGCATAAAAGTGTAACAAACATGAATATGTACAAGCAGGAAGGATCTTTTGGTACCAGAAGCTTTCTGGGTTTATTTGTTTTGTTTTGTTTTTGGACTTGTAGTCCAAGCAGGCTGTGTCTGCATGCAGTTACAAAGTCAAGATGGGGATCATAAAGACATTGCATTTGGTAAAATGCAATACTGAAACCACTGGCTATCATCTGATGAAGACTTAGCTTTTTTTTAACATGGCCGCATTTTGAAAAGGATATATTTTTTCTAATCTCCTGATATCTTGGCTACATCCTAATATTGGCTAGTGCCCTTAGAAGCTAAGTCAGCAGACTAGCCGAATGTCAGGTTCTGGAGGCAGACACATTCAGCCCTTGGTATCATTACTTGCAGGACACAAACCACTGGTGGAGAATAATGCAAAGATGAAGAGCAGTCTAGTAAGAGCACTGCAAATAAATGAGTGACTTAACTATAAACCGAGAAACAGTAAGGCAAAATAAAAATACAGGAAAACACAGAGGAAACACAGCACAGCACGGCACATAAATAATACCGACAACAACACTGACACAATGGGCTTGCAGCACAAGACTCACGTTTCCACCTCCTGCCGAGTAGCCACGCCTGTCCAAGGACCCACACCTAGACTGAACATGGCTATAGTCCAGTTTAACACTGGGGATGAAAACCTGCAGGGTGGAGGTGAGGAATGAGGTGGGAAAACGCTTGGGCTTAAGTCTTTTAAACAGTTTGTGTACTCCCACTGTTTAAATAGATGTCTGACTGTGTTTGGCGGTACAATTGGACTAGTAGTTTCCCTGTTGCCCAGGACAAACATCATTCAACTGATACGATCACTTTAAGCTCAGAGGAAAAGACAATTTGATCTGACTCATGGCGTGAGCTGTGACGGTCTGTGAGCCTGGATTATGAACCAAAATGCAACAACTGATGAACCTATAGAAGCTAAAAACACAAATTGAAAGTTCTTTGATTTGAGGCCACTACTTTAGGGATTGAGGATGATGAACATGTGAGCGTGCTGTGACGTGTGCTGACTCTCTGTAGCTGCAAGGAGAAAAAGCAGGAGTGAGATGCAGACAAAGCAGAGTTGGAACAGTACTGAAACAACAAATAAATAGCTTTCATTTTTACACGACAGCACAGCAAAAGCAATGGGGGTTTACACCAGATAAAAAAATGACAGAGCATACACTTCTTACACATTTTGTGAATTAGAAAAGATGAGGACAACGGAGACTTTCGGGTATGTGGCCTCTGAACTGTTTTCCTTTTCCTTCACCGCTTAATGAAACACAAGGAGTGCTTTCAAATAGATGGACATCTGTTCAAAGAATATGGGGGCCATTCAGTCCCAGTTCAAAACATTGCTGGAACAATGCTTATGTGCCAATGGGCTCAAGACAACCAGAGGCAATAAAGAACATATAAAGTATATCTCATTTGTGGGGTATTTATGATATGGAGGATCAGACGTCCTTTCTTATGCTACATTGAGAATTTCTTTAATATGCAACAGACAGAGACAAAGAGGAAGTGTTTTCATTCAGTTCTCAATTAGCACAAGGTTTTCTGCTGTTACTTCCCTTCAAACATCGGGTAAGCACAAGTGGAACCATAATTTTCCACCCACTGCCAGTAAAATGTTACACTATCAATAACTTTTTAATAGCTAAATATAACAGAGAATTTATTCCCCTTCTTTAAAAGAGGAATTATTTTTTTGTCTTTCTTCTTAATGCAACCTAAACACAAGGTAGCAAACTAAATGAATAATGAGAGCAGATTATTCATGCTTGTAACAGCACAGAATATCCACAAGATATGCAAACCTCGTCTTGCCACAAAGCACCATCACTATAGCATAGCATGTGACCTATTATATCTCATGTGACTTAGAATTGTGGGATAAACTAGAATGAGGAAGCAAGCATTTTATGTACCCTCAGAAGGAAATAAATGGAGGAAAAAGGGGAAAAAATAGAAGAAGAAGAGGATAGAAAGAAAAAGAGGACTCAACTAGTGGGAGATTTCTGGGGAAGGAAAAACACATTTAATCTACTGTCGACTCACTATTATTCGTATTATTCTACACGAAATGTAAGACTAGACCTAATACACACAATAGTGCACGATTAAATGTCAAACTAATCACAGATACATGACAGGGGTTTTTGGGGGGTAAAGTGCTAAAGAAAAGTTAGGCTACAGTATTCATATGGATCCAACAGGACTGCATGTTCAAGCATACTTTAGCAGTTTAGCTAAGGCTATGGTCAACTGAGTGGATCTTTCTCTTAACCATCAGGTCATTTTTGTGCTAGACAGTCGGCTAAATATTAGAAAAAAGTCAGAAGCATGCATCCTCCTTGCTATGTTGTTGTTGGTCGTTCATAATGCCAGTAATATATAACCTATAATACAAGTGACATTTGTCACCCCTTGAACCATAGGTGAAAAGAGACAACTGTATCTAAAATTAAAAAGCGAGAGCCAAACTACAGTGAAAAGGGGGGTAAAATACAAACTAGCTCACTTTCATACTATTAACCTACCCATATACTGCACAACACAACAAGAAGCAACATGTTGTACACTACCTAAAGAGATATGAATCAAAATATTTATTGGGAATTGGACTAACTAGAATTATATAAGGCATTCACCCATCCTCTTAATGAGGAAGGCAAAGCTTGAAGGGTACATACATTGGCTCCACGAGGAGAGTGCTTCAGATTATCCTTGGAGCTGCACTTTGACAGTGATGGGGTGAAGTCCTGCCTCTTGTTTAAAATATGGATCTATGGAAACATGCAGAGATATATGGACCTCTTAAATGGTAGATAGGAATGACTGTGTATTATCTTCGTATGCTTGATCGCACTGTCTAATACTCTAGGGACTACAGGATACTGATGATCAGCATACTGAAAAAGTGTCAGTGCACACATTTCTATTGTTTTGGAGCATGATTAATACTTTAAAGAATAAGAAATCACAAGTTTGTGTTTTCTTTGCAAGAGGAAATCAAGTGTTTGTGTTTTCTTTAACTGTTTTCTGTACCTCTTGCATTCATGTTGAAACAAATACAGTTTTTCAATGTTCTTCCCATGAGTCATCAATCTGCCAACCAGAGTATTTGTTTGACTTCTCTTTATGAAAAGTCTCAAGCCAACCCACATTTCTTCAAATTTTCTTTCACTTTAAAGCCAGACTTTCTTGTAACGTTTAATGGTCCTGCGCAATAGTTCACCAGGCTTTCCAGAGATCTTTCATAGTTTTAATAAATAATTTCAGCATACATAAGGCACCTAACGCAAGAGATGGACCCAGGTATTATCAACAAATAACAGACAACTTTTCAAAGAATAAATACATAAATGAACTGATAAATAAATACATTAATTAAATTGTCTCTTTAGGCTCTTTGTTACTAGCAGGCTGTCACAAAAAACACATCTCAGCATTGAGTTTAGTGTGTTCTTAAAAAGTTTGAGGAAACTGCACAAGAAGAAGACTATTTGAACACATGAACAGTATCAGAAAGTCAAAATTCCACCAAAGACCTGACACATGACCCGAGAGATTCATTTGATCTTTCGGTTGATCCATCTACTGTTTACTGATCACTCATCAGAATTGGTCTCAATGAAAGGTTTGTTGCCAAGATGCCATTCATAAGGAAGAACACGATGAACACGATGAACCTATTGGTTAAAATAGTCAGTAGGTACAACAGTGAGTTTCTATAGCCATCTGTAAAACTTCTTAGAGGCTCCATCTTTGTTTGAGGCTCCATTTTTTCTTATTTAGCTCGTTGTCGGTTCTTGCGTATTAGGAACAGAAAAGTATCTTAGCGTTTTGATCCACAATGCCATAGCATCCGGAAAGCATTTGATTGGCAATGGCTTCCTTATCCAAAATGAAAACGATCCCAAACACAATGCCAATGCAATAAAAGCATAACCAAATAGAAAAACACACAATTGAACCCTATCATTCAGGGATTGGCCTCCCCAAAGTCCAGACCTCAACTTTACTGAAGCAATGTAGGATCATCTTGACAGAGATTAGAGCAAAAGGCAGCCAACATCCAAAGAGGAGCTTTGACTGTTCTTTAAGAAGCCTGGAGAACTATTCCTGAACACTACTGAAAGCAAGGTTGCTTTAGAGTTCAGGCTGTGTTGAAGAATAAAGGTGGGCATACCAAATGTTGACTTAGAATTGTACAAACTCAGTTTTTGTTTTTTATACTATATGTTTGCACACATTTCAATAAATCATTGTACATATTTCCCAAATGAGGGGTGGCTTAAGACTTTTCCTCAGTACTGTACAATTTCAACATGGTGATTACTAAAATATTAAGAAAAAAAAAGAAAAACACTGCCTTTTGATTTTTTGATGTGACTGGTTCGATCCTATGTAAAGCAGCTACGCAAACACGTTCTGCTGCTGCTCTGTGCAATGGACTTTCTTCAGCACTTTAAAATTCAATAATCAATCAAAAGACAAAAGGCAGTGGCCACGTAATAATTAATTGGCTCTAAAATAGTTTTTTGTATTGTTAATATTAATGGCTCATTTGAATTTAAATTTAATCAATCAAATTACCTTTTCAAGATATTAATGAGTAAAATTACACATAGTAAATGCTTTCTTTTTAATTATTCCACTGGGACAAAGGTTTCCAGACTTTTTATTCAAAGTGCTATAATTAAAAGTGATAAGGTATACCAGCAGGTCCTGCGTCCAGGTCACGCTGTGTACCGCAGACAGACACAGAGTAACAGAGATGAGGCGCAGCACTGACTTCCAGATCAAAGAGGCCCTGGGTTTGGCCTCTGTTGGCCCATTTTGGTCCTTCTGTTTCTATGAGGACGGTCATTAGACAGGTCAGTAGCTGAGTATAGGCTTGCTACCTTGCTGTGGGCTGGGGGAGGCTCACTACAGGAGCTGCTTATAGTAACACTATTTGGATCTTTGAGGGTGCTGTGAATATTAAAAATCAGGTGAGGAGTACACTTCCATCATGTCATGTGACTACTGTCTATAAATGTTTGCAACAATATAAATGCTGTCACACTAGTTTGGCTTTTTAATTTTTATTAAGTTTAAAAAAGAGGTAAAATTATACGCTATCTATAATTTTTTACTACTTCAGTGGTACAATAGTGACACTAGAGGACCATTTCAACAATGAATGTTTATAACACTGTACTGCAATAAAGGCTCCAGTTAAACAAATACTTTAATCAATCATCTGTTTCATTCAAATGTCCTAAAGGTTTCTATTTGTATTTCCCTTTTTCTCTTATAATTAACACTCAATGATATTCTCAAGTTATTTGCTTTTGTTGCTTCTGTTAATATGCATCAAGGTGTCTTTTAAATCTAAACTAAAATGTGAAGATTAATACAAATTGACCAATATGTCAGTAGGCCCGACATAGAGCCCGAAATTATAAAAAGTATCACTCTTTATAACTGCTGATAAATTAACATTTAAAAAATAGAGATGAGACAGGAGAAATATCCTTTAACAATGTTATGGGTGTTGATGGTCCAAAGTTTGTCCACCAGTGCGCACTCTGTCGAGTCGAGCTGAGCGTTTGTGTGGCTAAAAAAATGTTAAAGAATATATATATATATATATTAGCTTTTTAAATCACCAAATATCAGTACTGATATCAGTCATTATATTCAGTTTTATTTATGGGCATAAACATAGACCTCTGAACCTCAACAACTTGTCAGCACATAGCCCCGCACTGCATTAATCTATGCTGATTCCAAAAACAAAAGACTTTGTCTGAAGACAGCATGCTCATGTGTGAAACAAACACCTGTAATCAGAAGGAACAACTACACAATAAGCAGAATAATTCCCATTAAGGATCAGATATCTGTGCAAATTCAACAGATGCATTTGATAAATAGCCGCGTCTATCTAACAGGGAGATAACCCCTTAGTCAATGTATCTGCTATCTGTGTTACAGATAAGAAATACACAAAAGCATGACGTATTCAAAATCACACACAAGCAAACTAACACAGTGGAGCAAAATCCACACTGAAATATAGGCCGAGCACTTCCACATCCACAGTGAGTGATGTGACTGTATAATTGAGCATTCACATTGCAAACACTGATGAAGCTAGTTATGAATAACACTTTGACAAAGCATAAACAGTAATCCTGTACACATGCTAACCCCCCCCCCCCCGAGAAGCTCAAGCATGTTTCTCCTGCAGATGACAGGCTGGTGTTTGGAACATGATCCCTCCCTATTTTATGGCTGACTGCACAGAGCAGCTCAGAGGCCTGCTAAGTCATAAAGATGCCAGCCAAACACTTAGATTCCTAATCAGGTCATCAGCAAAGGCCTGTAGGAACTGATGGCTACAGACACATTGCTTCCTGGTGCAGTGCTGCCTCTGTGTTTCAGACTCGAGTCATTTGTCAAAATGTAAGAAATGTACCCCGAGACACTGTGCTAATGCAGATTCTGTGCAGCAACAGAAAACAAGATTTGTAATTCTGATTTTGCTGAACTGCTGTCTTTGCTTTGGCGAGCCAGGAGGAACGCTTACGGGACAATACTGCTCAGAGTTCAGACTCTCGCTCAGGTGTCATAGTCATGTCATTTTCTGTTTACTGAAATCTCTAGATGAAGAACTGCTTGGTGGTGAGAAATCACAGGTAAAAATAAAGCTGACATAGCATAAGCTAGCATTTACGGCTTTAAAATTGTAAAAAAAAAAAAAAATGTATATATACATATTTTGAAATCATTCTTTAGACCTTTATCTCAGTGTCTATCTTTGGGATAAACTCACAATCAATCACAACAATGTTAAAATGACTTTTTAACCTGCCTTCAGATGGCAGTCTATATTAGTCTATATTAAACTCAGAGAAAAAGAGCCTTGGTCTACTGTGTTGATGGCAACAGATATATCAAACTGCTTTCATCCATCAGAACCAGAGCAACATTTACAGCTCTTGAAGACAAATTTTTCTGCAATCTGATTAACGCGAGCATACTTTTACTTTCACTGACAGCAGAAAGAATTCATGCAAGCTCACTTGCTATAAACTGATATCTGAACTAATGCTTCACATAGAGACAACAGAGGAAGACAGCCACAAAATAAGGCTGGGAACTGAAAATATCTAGAAGTGGTAAAGAACTGCTAAGCTGATGTAGGTCTTGATTCACCATATAAATAGTTTAGATGATAAATCATATGTCCAATAGGTTTATATATCATTAAAATCAACATTATAAGTTGAAGTACATTTTAGGATAGTCTATCAGGTAAAGGAAAAGTTTAACACGCTACACTTTACATTGTATACATTGTAAATGTAACCAATGGATGCGTGTAATTATGTGTGATTTTCCTTTTTTCTTATACAAAACATCATTATGTAACATTTTGTACTCTTTTTTTACGATGATGGACGGGCAAGATTATTCACGATATAGCAGCAGGCAAGGGAAACTAAAAGACTAAAGCAGGACTTTTAGCGAGGACCTAGAGACGGGAGGAAACATGGGAAATAAGCATCTTAAAGTAGAAGAAAAAGACAGAAGATGTTAGACAAAACCTTATAACACTATTTATACGAGGAATGGTAAAGCAGACCTCATCACAGATCAGTGGTCTGTAAATATATTGTACAGATTTTTCTTGCAGATCCATATGAAACAGTTATTTGACTCAATTTTTTCCTCCTATTGAACTTTTTGTTGTTGCTTTATGGTTCAAAGGTCAAATCCTGGGTAAAATCGGCTAGGAGGCAAGCAATAAGTTTCTTTGCATGCTCAGTAAATCTACCTGTATATACCTAATATACTTTTTATTTCTATTACATGTAACTTCCTGAAACAAAAATAAAACACATGGCAGCTTCTGTCTCTGAGATCAGTGCAGATGGGAGAGATAGGAAAAAAGGAAACTACAATAAGCAGTAAAACCAAATGTGAAGATGGAAGAAAATTAGCAAGCAGTTAAAAAAAGCTGCAGATTTCTGGACAAAGTAAAAGTGTTACCTGTCCTCCTTTAGGCTGATACTTGATATTCTCTGTGGAGCCAATCTTAGACTTGATATTCTTGAAGTCAGGGAGTGGCTGGTTGATAATACGGAGCTGCTTGGGTGTGGTTGCAGGTGACTTGGGTGGGGTACGGACCACAGCCACCTTCCTCTCCTGACAAATCAAACTGAGGGAGCGTGGGGTCCCGGGGGTCCTCGAAGATGATGAGTAACTGGGAGGAGTTCCTGGGGTGATGGCTGTTGAGCCAGGGGTGCGTGGGGTGGAGTGGCCACTGCGAGCTGAACGTGAGCGCACTGATTCTGTAACTGGTAAGATGACAAATACAGGTGATGGAGGTGGAGGTGAAGACAAGCTGCAATTCCTTTTATTCCAAATATTTTGAGTCCACAGCACAAAATTACAATATGCTCTTAACTTAAATCTAGAAATAGTAGAAATAGTCTGTATTTACCTGTCATGCTAGGAGCTCGCCCTGTCCTGTGTTCTGCCCTCATCTCAGTGCGAAAGGCTGGAGAAAGGGAAAAATCAAAAGTTTTGGATTTAGTGATGGAGAATGAAGAAAAAGAGGAGTTTTAGTGTACGCTAATAGTCCAACATAACATTTTGGCTTTGTAATAAAAGTAAATTAAGTATCAATATAAAAAAAACAAATGTTAAAGATGCCAGAAGACAGACAGAAATAGAGCGAGTATGCAAAAATCCCTCATTAGCAGATGTCAGCTGGGACTTCTTAAAATAATCAAGCATAAGGCCTTATGAGTGTGCTTTTCACTTTCTAGAAATATTTTTCTAAAATTGATCAACAGTAGTAAAGACTGAATTAGTAGCATTTGTCGCACACTGGAGGCTATTAAGAGTTTAGTTTTAGACAACCTAACGTGAACTAAATGCTGATGCTTTGTACAGTTTAGGAGAACTGGACCCTACATGTGGGCCTGCGAGGAGCCGTAGAGCCAGAGCTAGTGATAGAGGTAGAGCTCTCTTCATGGTCATGGGGCCCACGGCGACTCATGAATGAGGTGTGGCGTGGCACTGAAGACCTCTTCTCTGGGCTCCGTGACCCACCATCCTGTTGGAAAACATACAGGGAGAGCATTGTTAGGCCAGTCAGGCAGACTGTGGTTTATCTTTTTAATTCAATGTGAAACAACAGATATCGTATGCGAGCAATATTACAAAATTAAAGCAAATAATATTCATGTTTGCATGAAAACATGTATGAAATTTCCAGGACTTGTGCAGGAACCCTGTCACTCTTCCATCCACCTACCTTAACTATCTGTTTCTGTAATTCTGTGGAGCCCTGAGGCTCTGCTGAGGATGGACGAGGTCTATCTAGCGAGGCAGCCGCTCTGGATATGAAGGTGGGGATCTTTGTAAACGGTAAATGATGGGCATGGCACTGAGATGGTACAACAAAGAGGTGTGGTTGGTGAGGCGCATGAAAACAAAATAAAGAACACGGGATGACAAAAAGTGGTGAAAATACCACTGCTACAACATGCATCACGAATGCACATGATCTCATGAATCATGTGGAACAATCTACTATGTAATCTATTAAAGCAGCTCCTCTTGCACATTCATTTTAGTAACAAACTGAAAACTCATGGGACATGAAAATATCAAACAAATAAACAAAACTTAAGAACGTGAGGGATACTCTTCATCATGCCCATGCAACAGCAACGGGCTACACTGCAGAGCATGGTATTAGAAGACACTTTCAGTATGCTGTGATGACATGACATTTAGGAAATATAGAAAGCATGTTCTTTTAGACACAATAACTGTCATTAACATGGCGGAGGAGTGAAATGGAGTCACGACCACAGGCACTGGAGAAATGTCACAGGTTGGTTCAACACCCACTCAGCAAAATAAACACTCCAAATGAGTCTGTCTTCACTACTTGTGCAAAAACCCATTAAAATACACCAAGAAGAGGAAACATTTTACAAAATGTAACCACCATTAATATATTTTCTTCATGAAATATGAACAAAAAACGAATGCAACACCTGCCTGTGTTAGTGTGGAGATGGAAGGACAAAGCATTTGCTTTATCTGGATGTGATGTGTTATTGTGTTAATCTCTTTTGAGATTTTTTTTTTTTGACTCAGCAAGTCACCCTTGGAAATAACATCATTTTAATGATTCTACTGATAATTGTTTTTTCAAAATTACCGAGATGCTTTTTGTTTCAGATTCTGCAGAAGGCAAGTTGTGTATGAGCGGTTTCATATTAATAGCAAAAAAGCAAAAGTTTCAAATCCGTTGCACCAAAAAAAGGTTCTGCCTGTTTCTAGTGCTCAGTATCCATTGAGTTGCTCTATGCCTATAATTTAATTGTTCATTCATGCTGACTGCCAGCAGAGTTTTCTTGGAGTCTCTCTCAGTGTTTTTTGTGCCAGAGGTCGTGCCATTGTTAGGTTTGTTGAGTATACTTACCGATGCTCTGTCACGAGACTGTCTGGCAACGCTGAGAGGCTGACGACTGTCAGGTAGGATTTCTGAGGGACGGAGACAGACAGACAGAGAAGTTCAGGGAAACAAAAATACTTCAGAAGAATTTGTGCGTTAACCTTCGTACATTGAAGGAGAAGGAGTTAGGGCTCTCTAAATGCCCTACTTTGGAGGATTACCCCCATATTTATATCCTTGCAAGAATATGTTTCCTATTACATAAAATGTAAAAAATTACAGACATCCAACTTTGCATTCTTAAATGTGGCATGGTAAGCGATATGCCAAATTCAATGTTCTATAGGAGCTGGATGTTTCTTGCTTGACAGCTTTGTTCTGCAAAGATTTGGCAAGATATCACACAGAATGGGGGATTTTGTATTATGTAAGGCAACCTTGGAAAAAAAAAATCTAATTGGGGCATTGCAGCAGTATACTGTGCTTTCCTCATCACTGACACAGAATTCAGTACGTCAGGGGAAAATGGAGAGAAAACTGCCTCTGGGTCAGAGCAGCATTAGCAAACCTAGTAATAAGTTAAAGGGTGGCTGTCACTTAGCAAAGTCTGTCTACCAACCGGAAGGTCAGTGGTTCAATCTCTGCTACCTCTGGTCTTCATATTGACGTGTCCTTGGGCAAGATCCTGAGGCCCCCATATTCCCCCGATGCATTGATCGCAGTGACAGTGTGTGTGTGTAATAGATAGAAAATGCTTCAAGGCATAGACTATATTAAAGTAGCTTGTAGTAAAAAGTGCTTTCAGTACTCAGAGTGGAAAAGTGCTTTTAGCACCACGGAGAAGATATCAAACTGGATATGTAATTTAAAAGACCATCGAGGTTGTGAAGGTCTAGTTTCTTTACTGACAAGATTCATTATTGTGACAAGTCAGCTGGACACCAGCAGCTGACAGAGAACCTAGATACAAACTGCAAAAAAAGATTTTATGAAGGAAAGATGTATTCATAAAGAATAACATCTTTATGAATGTGTTAGGAATTAAAGTATTATTTAAGTTAACAATACTGTAGTTAAGGGGAGTGTGCTGTGCCTTCTTAGACACATGTATATACGAGCATAGGTGTAAGCACAAACAAATGCTTAAAACAGAGAACACAAGTGAAACAGTATTTGTTAGCTCAGAGAACGAACAAAAAACGCAAAAAAAGCAAGAAATACACAAATGAATCCAAAGAAAATATTAATGAAAGTCAATCTTTATTATGATGAAACACAAAATAAATGCATTTGAAAACAAATGACTAACAAAACTAATAACATTAAACAACCAATAAAACAAAAATGAAGCGGAGGCAAGACAGGGATGGCTGTTGCGGTGACTGTCCTGCAGCAAGCACCAGCTGTGTGACAGACCAAGGCAACGTGTCACCTGTGGTTATTCTCCTGGGGCAGGAGTGGTGCTGGATAGGACGGGTCTGGCGGACTGCTGCTTTCCCCGCAGTCCTCTTGGACGGGGATTGAGTCCGAGTCTCCATTTTTTTGGCAAGGTCAACCTTCTTTATCACTGCTGCATTATCAGAGAAAACAGGACCAGTGACAACAGCAGAGGAGTGCAACCACAGACAGAGACAGTCATGTTATAATACGGAAAACACCACAGAAAGCCTGTGTACGGTTCATGCATGTTGAATAGCCTGCATACAAAACAGTCAGATGCACAGAGTGCTGTGTTTGAGGAGCAGCTGACTTAAACATTATTTAACAATGATTATTGCTTCAGTTATTGACATTATTTTACATACTACGAAAAATAAAATTACAATAACCTTTTTTCTTCTTGAGTTCCTCTTTGGGGATGTAGGCAGGTTCTTTGCGGGTAGGTTTGCGTTCTGGAGTCGAGATTCGTCCCTTAGGCCGCCCCCCCTTAGTCTTGGCTTTAACTGGCTTTTCCTGTTTCTCTGTCTTCCACTGTTGTGCCAGTTTGTTCTGGACCACAGCAGGTTTTTTGACCGGACTAGACATCTTGGGCAAAGGCTCAGTGTGCTCTGTTACCATACTCTTATCGTCATCTGCAGTGTGGAAAAATAGGGCATGAGACTTTATTCAGTTTGTGTATTTGAAGCTGACAAGAGGGAATAAAAAGAAGAAACAAAAAAGGTGATCTCACCTTGAGTGTCAACCCAGGAGCTGTCCAGAATGGAGTCATCCATTGTGGTTTCATCTCTATCATAGCTTTCTGTTGGTCCTTCTGTTTCTATGGTCTGAGCCTCCCTCTCGGGGGAGCCGGGAATTTCAGGAACATCTCCCATTTCCTCTAAACTGGCAGCCTCTATGTCCGCTTCCTGAGCCAGCTCCACAGACTCTTCTTCCTCTTCTTCTTCTTCTTCTTTTTGGGCAGCAATGCAAACTGCTTCGGCCTCAGGTGGGGCAGAGAAACGAACGCTGTGGCCCGGCTCTTCGGCTTCATCAATGGTTTGGACCACAGTAATGAAATCATCTTCAACTGTCACCACAGACTCAATGGCAGCATGAGCCTCGGGTATTTCCTTCGTCACGTCGCCTTTGTCCTTCATCTTCTCAACCTCAGCAGGCTTTATTGCATCAGCTTCTTTTTGTCTTGCATCCACTTCAGGCTGGTCTGCAACTTTTGTGTTCATCTCTTCCTCCTTCTCAAGCTCTTCCTTTTCTTTCAGCTGCCTTTCTATTGTTTCTTTCTCTTCCTTCTCTCTCAACTCCTTCTCTATTCTTTCCTTTTCCAGGCTTTCTTTCCTTTCTCTCTCCTCTTGTTCCATCTTTTCCCTCTCTTCTCTTTCTTTTCTCTCCCTTTCTTCCTTTTCCTTCTTTTCTCTCTCCTCTCTCTCTTGCTTTTCTTTCAACTCCTTTTCTTCTTTCTCTTTCTTTTCTTTCAATTCCCTCTCCTCTCTTTCTTTCTGCTCTTTTTCTTGTTTTTCTTTCAACTCTTGCTCCTCTTTCGCTTTCTTCTCTTTCTCTTGCTTTTCTTTCAACTCCCTCTCCTCTCTCTCACGCTGCTCTCTTTCTTGTTTTTCTTTCAACTCTCGCTCCTCTTTCTCTTTCTGCTCTTTCTCCAATTTCTCCCTCATCTCCTGCTCTTTCTGTTCTTTCTCCTTCCTTTCTGTTTCTTCCTTCAATATCCTCTCTGCCTCTTCTTTCTCTCTCCTTTTCTGCTCTTCTCTCTCTTCCATTTCTTGTTCTTTCTTTTCTGCCTCTTCCTTGATTTTCTTTTCTTCCTCCTCTTGAAGTTTCTTCTCGACTGCTTCTTTCTCTTGCTCTGCCTTCATTTTCTTTTCTGGATCTTCTCTCTCATCTTTGTTTATGCCTAACACAGGTGAAGCTGATCTTTTCGGGGAGCCATACATTTCTCTTTGTTTAAGTTTGGAAGGTGAGAGCACTGGAGAGAGCAGCTTGTCATCATCAATATTGCTCTCCACAGATGAGGCAGATGAAGTTTTAACAGGCCTGGCAATTCGGTCCTTGGCCACACCAGTCAGCTGGTACACATCTTCAGCGTCCACTTCCTCATAGGCTTCCTGGTGCACCAGCTTCACCTTCTCTCGAAGCTCCTGCAGCTCTCGCTCCTCCTCCAAACTGAGAGGCCTGTCCTCCATCTCCAGTTTCCGGATCTGCCTCTCATAGTCAGCAATCTCGGTTTCTGACGCTGAGCCTTCACCGCTGGCTTGCCGTTCAGTCTCACTCACTGACCTCCCACCTTCCTCCAGTGTCACAGTGACAGTTGGTGTCACAAAAGGCTCGTAGGGCTGAGCAAGTGGTGTCTCGCTTACCAAAGTAATCATCGGATCATCTTCTTTGTTCTTTTCATTTTCTTCAGCTGAATCTTTTCTCTCTTCTTCTTTCTGATCTTTTTCTTCAGCTGCATCAGCAACTTCTGATGGCTGTGTTTTATCCTCCAAAGACACATCTCTGACTGCTAATTTTCTTGCCTGCTCAGCTACCTTTTCCTCCAGGACAGACGGGGTGAAGATTTGTGCAGAAGTGTTTGTAGGGCTGAACACATCTGCAGGGGATGGCATGGGCCCTGAATATTCACTGAATACACAATAACCCATCTCTTCCAGCTGGCTGTCACTCTTTCTAGCTCCAGGACTCTGTTCCCCTGAAATTAGGCTAGCCAGTGGGTCATAATTTAAGGCAGAAGAATCAGATTGAATCGACTTCCTCCGAATGATTTCTGGGTCACTGTTTTCTGATTGTAGTCCCGAACGGTTACCAGCAAGGTCAAGCATTTCGGGCAAGTCTTGTGCCATTACTGTGCCATTTTTATATGTATTCTTGGGAGGCTCAGGGGATTCTGGAGATTCCGGTTCAGGACTAGGTTTTGGAGGCTGCTCTGTGATCCTTGGAGGAGATGAGGAGTCTGAAGTAATGGAAGCTGCCGTCTCAAGTATAAGTGGAGGGAAAGATGGTGGCTTATCTGCAGATGGTGTGGTAACAGGAAGGTAGTCTGCGGAGTCATCTAAACTTCCACTGGTATATGACATGATATCTGTGGCCAGTGGGGAGAAGTTTCTTTGTCTGCCTTGGCCACTTTGATCCATTGCTCCTATGGTGATGTTAAGTGAGTAACTCCTCTGCTCTAAGGCAAGTTTACCTGGGGAAAGCCTGCAGTCATTACTCCTGTCAGGAACTGTAAATACCCTAGTGTCTTCTGTTGTACTTTTTTTAGCTTCAGGTTTATCTTGAGCTTCAGCAAGTGTGCTGTAGCTGATCTCAGGAGAACTGGTATCATCAGTACTCTGCTTGTCACCAGCTCTACTCAGTTCGTAATAACCCTTACCTTTACTGTGAGGACCTTCACTAACCTCCATGGCTGATGTTTCAAAATAGGCTGACATCCCAGATCTGTCTTTTGTGTCACTTGTTGAGTCTCCTCCTTGAACTTTGGCTCCCACTGATGTGAAATCAGCAGGAGAGCTGATGCTGCTGAACTCTACCACCTCCACTGATGGCTGCTTCTCTGACACTGTAATCGGCTCGCCATATGTAGGCTGAAGTGTGAGCGATCTGACGGGTTCCTTGGCTTGACTTTGAATATCTGGGGGTACAAAGGATGGCATATCCATGGTGGGACTCTCTGGTACAACTCGTTCACCAGCAAAGAACCCTTGGATCTGGGGCTCATAAAACTCCTCTGGACGTTTCTCTGATCCAATGCTGTCAGGGCTCATGGATCCACTGTCCTGCTTGTCTGTCTCCATCTTCAAAGCTGAAAGGATATCTGTAAGTTGGCTGTTTGATCATTACAGAAATGCATTGTTTTAGCATGCTGTGAATGAGATATCTATTAAGCCAGGGTCTGGAAAAGCTATGACAAAAACAGGCAAAGCTCTCCTCAGAAACTTACAGCACAATGGTACGGCCATCAATGAAGAAGTACGGCGAGATTACGCGGTCCACCAAGTCACAGATGGATGATAAAATGGGATGGTGGCATGACGGAAACCAGCATGAGGCAACTGGGATGTTGACTTATGGGAAACAAGCAATAACAGATGGGAGAAATATCCATGCTGACCTTCAAAACCATCAGATACCAAGTGAAATAGCATTTCTGTCATTCAGTAAAATGAAGTGTTAAGTCAGTTTTTCAAGTTTAAAGCTTTTAATATTTAAATAGTTTTCACTATTGTGAATTTAAATGTTCAGATGTCAGTTTATTAGCACAATCATAGAAGAACTTTACTGGTAAATGACAGATAAATGCTATATGCTGTCACAAGCTAAAGGTGACAAAAACAACCCAAAAAAGGGAAAGAATTTGGAATTAAGCTGATACAGAAATGCATTTGATGAGATGGTTTTACCAACAACTGCACCACACTGAACATGAGACAGCCAACACAAAATCCCCTGCAAACTCTGTACTCAGATTCATGATACCAATGATTTATGCATGTGTTGCAGGAATGAATCATGGCTACAAAACTGCGCACAGCACTGGCATACCAGCACTAGGCAATGTATAAACACAATGAAAAATTTGGAAGCTTATAGCAGGTGGAAAAAATAAAACCAGCAACCGTCACGATTAGCATCACTTCACTTCATCATACCACTACGAAAACGGCCGGCCCCGAAAACCACAGCAAGTAAAAAGAAAATATAAGCAAAAATACACAATAAAACCAGGTTAAGTTAAAACAATGTGGCTTTTTTTCACCAACAAGCCTGTGTTGCCTTGCAGCCGCAGCAGAGCGCAGGGAGGATCACTTGCCATTCCACTTGAATTATAATGCTTATAAGTTATACATTTCCTTTGTACACATCTTGCGTTCTTATACAGTGGGCAATGCAGGAACATGCAGGCAGGGAGAGCAGAGGGCAGGACACACCTGTCTCAGGGCTCTCCTCACCCTCTGCTTCCTCCTCCTCTCTGTCCATAGAGCTGTCTGCAGTAGCACTAGCTGCCTCAGCCGGCTCCAGGTCTAGATCCTGGGCCTCGTCTATGGCCTCTGCCTGCTCTAAGGGCTCAGCTTGGGGGCTGTCCAGCTCGGGCTCTTCCCCACTCCACTGCTGCTCATCAAGAGCTGCCTCGGACTCTGCTGCCTCTGCACTCTCCTCCTCATCTTCCACCTCCTCCTCGTATTCAGCTGTAAGAGCCTCCATGGTCTCTTCTTCCCGAGAACAGGGTGAAAGGGGGACACATTAAGACTACAGGCAACACAGACTTGGGTTATGTGAGAACACAACTTATGACGGGACACTTTCAGCTCTAGGGAAAGATGGCCTAAAATATTTATTTGTTCACACATATATGTACATTACACATACAGTACAGACTGCTGTTATTTATGCGTTTTTTGTTTTCTTTTTTATCATATTAGAGGAATATAATATAATAATAATTCCCCCCCCCCCCCCCCAATATCTGTCTTTTTAAAATAATTTTTCCAGTCCATAAGCAAATCCTTAACAGATACTGACCTTTGATCATTTACGACTAAGGTCAGTTGTTTAGTGGTAAAGATAACATTGAGGAAACAACACTTCATGGCTTTACATTGCATGGACAGGATACTGTATATGCAAGTAAATGAAGGAACATTGTATTCATTTGAGTGAAATGAGAGTCAGCTGCAGATCCATCGTGACAATGTCACATCTTTCTAAGGATTTGCAGCTGATCGTACAAAGTGGCTGCTAATAGTCATTAAATATGATCATTTACATTAGTTTACACTAACTAGAAGTTAATAAATGTCTTAAGTATTACACAAATTTAAAGCTGCTGCGACCATCACACAAATGTTAAGTTCAGCTGAGATCTGTGATTCCAAAAAACGACAGTAAAATATGTCCCGTAAGATAACTTCTGAATCCCTAAGCTATGGGAATCAAGAGTTCTGGCTTTTCATTTCATTTTAATTTAATATCTCTGGAGAAAGAACTTTCTTTCCTGTACTCTTTTGAGCAACAAAAAAAAAAATAAATCAGCAGCATCAGGAAAGTTTAATAACTGAGACAAGTTGAATCAGTTCGAGATGGGCTCTTGGTTTCTCTATATTACTTTTTTTGTATATTACTGGATAGGGATTTGGATTCTGCCATTAGATTTCCAAAGATTTATTATGCTATTTTTACAGCACCTTCACAGCATCACAGTCATACTAGACTTTACACTTATCTTGTGCTGAATGACTGACAAACTTGTTAAAAAATGCCAAAAAAACCCCATGAAAAATCAGCTGATTATTTT